AAATCAATAACGAGTCAGTCATCTTGATCAGTCAAAACGAACTGCCGAACGACCAGGCAACCGAAGACGTCAATGGTTCGCGCGGAGGTCATGCACAAAGAGGATTCGGCAAACAGGCCTAGGATCTCAGCGGAGTGGATGGAAATAGTGAGAGCTCTGTAACCGGAAATTACGCAATTACTTTCGAACTTCAAACACAAATTTGATTATCGTTATTATGTGTTATTTTCTGTTGTTTCAAAGATTAAATTATTTATGACATTAATATTTCACCCACTAAACAATATTTCACTATAATACGCGAAAAAAGCAACTTAAATTGGAAAAACGATTATCAAGTTCCGTGTATAAACACTAGTGTAAAGAGGTGGCGGAGCGCTGTTTTAGCCAAAATCGGCTAGTAAGGCGTCATATGACACAGGTCTGTGCTGGGACAGCGCTTCCGGTGACGACACAACGGTGTAAAATGCATTGTTTATTGACATGAAATTCGAACACGCGCTGCGCGACGACCGCGCTTAAAAATGCAGATCACACACACACAAAAAACTAATTGGACATTCACTTTACCACTACATATTGCTAGGGTGAAAAGTATACATAAATAGTATATATAAAACATTTTTTAATCAGTTAATCAAATCACTATTCGCTGTAAAGACTGCCATATTGAAAACACATCTACATGTCAATGCATACGACTTACTATTGCATCACTGCCCAACGTACAGTGTGTACTGGAAATTGATTCTAGTTACTAAATAACGAACAATCAACATATTTTGTACTTGGCTGGAAATGGGGTCGATTCAGGGCTCAATTCATTCTCACATGAAAACATGTAGTCATGTATTTTGCGCGACAGATATAATACACTTTCTGTAGAGAATATTAATTTTCACACGCTCTATTACGTCACGTAAAACAAGTTGTAACACTTCGGTGACGTTAAAATGATGTATCTGGGCAATGTGGTTCATCTAGAATATGGTAAAATCTTTCAAAAACGTAATTTTCATCGGTGGGCGACTTACTACAGATGAAAACGATATCAACGCTGTGACGTCTTTGTGTCTCCCATTTACGTCACAGAACGAAATACAAGCAATAATATTTATGGACAGCGCCCTCACACGGCTATTCTTATTTACATAACAAAGATAACATATAACATAACATATATATCAACGTATCACTGGCAACAAGTACAAGGTTTGAATCAGTTTATGAGCGAGCGCCACCAGCGGCAAACTCTGTCGATAATTAGATACAGTGCTATCATAGAGTGACTGAGGATGCACTTTTTGTTTTTGAGTAGTGATTCAGATTGTGATTCAGATTACACCTCCACCAGCCAATGTTTGCCTCGAGTTTGCGAAACCACAGGTGCGTGATTCAACCGATGTTAAGATCCAGGTCTCATACGGGCATTTTCACCGCCTGGTAACCATCACGGTAAAACAAAGGCCGAAACCCCTCAGAAACGGTAATTTGGGATTTTTTGTTCAGACTTCCCTGAACAGTGTAACAAGATTACCCCCTGCGTATGTAGCATATACAAATTTGGTTACTTCAAAGTTGAGTTTGTGTTGTTTTCTCGAATTTAGCTATTTTGACCGGCTCTTCGACCGAGATGTTGCAAATGACCTCACTAAAAGCGAAGAGGTTCGATTCAGATAAACAAATGAATAAATACAAAATTTAAGTTCGTTCCTTCCAAAATCCTAGTTATGTATTGTTCAATACTTTATTCATTTTCTTTCTAGAATATAAAGTTATGTTTCTTGAATATCAAGGATTTATTCTTAGAACATGAAGTTCAATTCAATATACGGTGCCCTCTAGTGGCACAGTTGTGTACAGAATATATGAGTGCCGGAAGTCAAAGATACGGCGTTTCGCGTGCGCGCGCATATCGGATATAATATGAGGTTATTACGAGGATATCGTAAAGTATGCACGAAGACAGTACAGCGAGAGTTTCTGCGCGGAGGTCGATGTGACGGCCTACTGTCTGAGTGCATATTTTAAAGATACATCATGGGAATGCTGAAATTCAAAAAGTTTAGAACAGAATCAGCGAACTTCTTTGTGTGGAGTCCGTTCAAACCCTGGTGGCTGCCATGTTTGTTTTTATAGCTAGTATTAGGACGCTTATGTGGGTAATCATTCCATATTTGGAATTCGCATTTCCTAAAATGGTAGGAAGAAAATACCCCGTAAAATACCGCAA